TATCAACAGTGGATCATGGGATTAATATGAGAACTTAAGACCAGAATAGTGCGAGTAACCAAGTTAGGATAATCCCATGTCATGCACCGTCGCGCTCGTCAATTAAAAGGCACTGCATATTTGAAAATCATACTTTAGAAAGAACTTTATAGTCTAAAAATTGTCTTAATTTTTTTCCGGGTCTTGTCTATTTTACTTTTATTCAAATAACACTAAAATACTTAGTGACAGTCTCTCTTATGTTTTCTCTTTCTTTAAACACAGAGAAATGTTATTGAAACTTCAAAGTCAATCTAATTAGGATATTGATCTCTAGTTTCGTTATGCGACGAGTAAGCGAGTTACGATAGATCTGATTTTTACTCAAATTGCTTCAAAGTGAGTGTAAATTTTGATTCGAGCGATATAAACATTGCTATTTTAGGTGTGTCAAATACTTGCCTAGCTGTGGAGTATAATTCCGGTATACTGTATACGACAGTCTCACATAAATAAAAACCTACTGCTATATTATATTTGCCTGCGGTTAGTTTTTTCAGTCGGTTTCATTTGTCAATAAATAAGTTTACTTAGTCACCTTTTTTTATCTGACTGACACAAGAGATTCATACAACTAAGCCTGATCTTTTCAATTACTTCATAAAATTCAATATAGTAAAGTAAATAAGACTCCATGTTCACATGCCAGCCTATACATGACTACGGAGCAAAATCGATTAAATACTATCTAGAACAGTTTTTGTCATATTTAATTTATTCATGTATACAATGTATATCAAAAACATTCAGTCGTACCGTATTTTAAAAATTCATTTTATGTCCTTTTTAGTGTCAGATTTAATCTACAAGTAAGTTATTTAAGTTAGAGGTGGTGACTATGACACGTTTTTACTAAACATGCAACTTTAGATATTTTTAATTTAAATTTTATAATTGTACTCGACGTATTTATAAAAATTGTTCACCGAAATGCAAATTACCGTGATCTGCCGCTTTTTTCCTTCAAATCGATAACTATAATTTCCCCCAAATATCTGTATATTAATGTCTATTTATCTCTAGTTGTATCTCACATTATAGGGATATATTTATTTCATGGATAAGTACATATTTATCTCAGGTCGATCTGTATTTATCCCATATATTTGTATCTATTCATTTCACATCGGTACCTATTTATTTCTCATTGGTATCTATTGATCTCATATCGACATCGTTTTCTTATATAGATATATTGAACTTTTATATTCATCACTTATACCTTATTTCAGTATCTATATATCTTTTAGCAATATTATTAAACTGACATCAGTACCTACTCATTAGTATACTTTATCTGCTAACGTTATCTGTTTTATCTATTTATTTCATATATCGGTATCTATTTATTTCATATATCAGTATCTATTTATCTCATATATTGGTATCTATATTTATATAACATATCGGTATCTATTCATCTCATATATCGGTATCGTTTATCTCATATATCCCTATTTATTTACATACATATATCTCATATAGGTATTTATCTATCTCTTATATCGGTATGATTATCTGATATCGATATCAGTTTCTTACCTATCTTATACTTGTATCTATTTTTCTCAAAGTGATATCATTTAACTCACATCGATATCTATTCATCTCAATACATGATTGGTACCTTTTATCTCAACATATGATTGGTACGTTTTATCTCACCGCTTAATTGGGACCTTTTATCTCACCGCATGATTGGTACGTTTTATATCGCCGCATGATTGGTACTTTTATCTCACCGCATGATTGGTACTTTTATATCGCCGCATGATTGGTACGTTTTATCTTGCCGCATGATTGGTACGTTTTATCTTGCCGCATGATTGGTACGTTTTATCTTGCCGCATGATTGGTACTTTTATTTCACCGCATAATTGGGACCTTTTATCTCAACGCATGATTGTTACTTTTATCTTGCCGTATGATTGGTACATTTTATCTCACTAAAGTTGAGAATGGAAATGGGGAATATGTCAAAGAGACAACAACCCGACCAAAGAGCAGACAACAGCCGAAGGCCACCAATGGGTCTTTCCATTAACTAGTATGTTATAAGAGCATAAACCTGAAGCACGGGGAGACACTGCATGATTAGTAACTTTTATCTCACATTGGTATCAATTTCTAACATCGGATTCTTTTTATGCATATCGATTCCATTATCTCATATACTGATACTACATTTTGTATTATATCATACGGGTATCTTTTTATCTCATATAGGTATAAATTTGTCTCAAGTCGGTTTCTCTTTATCTCACATTTGTATCATTTATTAATTTAGTCATCTTGGTGCAGAATTTTACACCGATGTTAAATTCCGTACACCGCTAATTGTACCAAGATAACGAAGATAGCAAGATTCTTGCGACATAAGAAATAACTATTTACATCATATACAAATAGAAGTATCAATTTTTCCTTGAATAAAAATATTGCATACAAGTATTGTTTAAGACTTTTTGAGGACGTCATATGAAATTTGTTACAAATGCTGTATTCCGAGTGTATCTGTCAAAGTTGTAGTCTCAGTATTTTTTTATTCGTCGTTATACATATTCACAAAATTTTATTGTGTTTGTGGAGTCCTCGGTGGCCGAATACAAAGTGAACAAATTTGTTTATCTACTGTATCACTGGCCTGTCAACACCGATGTTGTGAGTTCAAACCCTGCACTTGAGAGGTGCGTTCGGATGCAATCTTGATTGACTAGGACTGTCAGTTTTCCTACCGAAGTTCCACTACGGCTTCCTCTATCTTTAAAAATTTACCGCCATGATATAGCTAATTGTGCATAAAATTACTTTAAGCACCAACAATCAATCAATCAATAATTCTGTTTAAGTTTATGCTACAACTACAACACCAGAGGTAAATACTACATGTAATTATGATTATAGTGAAAACACGGGAGTTTTCAGCTTTCTTCTTTTTAGTTATTTGACTGTAGGTTCGTGTTTTAAAGAACATCTGTATTTTGAGAGGATCAGTAACACAGATGGTATCAAAAGTTAAACTTTCATCCAGATTTGATTAAAGTGGCTTAATATATCTGTCACAATGCCTTAGATTAACCTTTTAATTCCGTTAATCCTTCGGCATATTTTAAGACGTATAAATGTACTAAGCATAGATACAAACTTCTGAACTTGGTCTTTCGACCGCATTCATAATTTTGAATTTGATATCTGAAGCCACAAATAATCAGCTATTTATTAATTCTTTCTTATTTTTTGTTTATCTTTTGTGTGTTTTGCTTAGTGTTGGTTTTGTGTGTTTGCCTTGGTTCTGTATTTGTTTGTTGCGGTTGGTTTATGTGATAAAGCTGTTTGAAGAATGGGGTGGGTTGGTTATATGGATATTAGTCGGGTTTGGTCACTGCCCATGATTTCAGTCGTTTATTTCATGACGGTTTTACTTTGTAATACATCACCGTCGGGAAACCAAACAATTTGATAAATGAATGATGTTAATTCGCAAGTTTTGTAATATGAATAAGAATCAAAACATTAAACAAATGGTCAATGCTATGGTCTCCTGAGAATGAGTTTTATATTTTTGTAAATAAGTATATCAACGCACATTCAAACAAGCCAAAGCAATCACACTATAATTGAGGAAAAAAATATGAAAATAAGTTTTCCTACTCCTATTCGTAAAAGGGGAATTATAATATCAGTAAATAAACAAAACGAAAAATGTCACAACCTATCCATGATCGTTCGTCATTGAGTGACATGATTCAAATTATATTAGAATGACACATTTTCTGTTTTCCCTAAAACATGGTTTCTCGGAAGAACTACCGAGATAGTCTTGATTAAGAATTTTGTCTATAATTTTTATAAATGAGATAGCACATGCGTGAACAGCATTTACTTTAAAAAAGACAAAACATACACAATGCCTTGAAAGGGTCAAAAGTTTGGCAGGGCTGCATTTAATAACATTTTGTATTTAATTTTATGAAAATCTTTATGGTACTTTGCACTGAAAAAGGGGCAGAATTGTCTAAATTGTGAAAGATTTTTCTAATTTAAACTTCAACTGATTTCATGGGCAAAATAATGATAATATTTCATATAACATATCGCAATGAACTAAAACTGGATTTTTTTTTCGGATAGTGCTAAACTATTCTAATCACCATTAGTATAGCAAAAATATGCGATAATTTAAGACTACAATACTACATAAACAGAGATTAGATATTCCTATAACCCAACTAAAATGTGTGAAAATGTAAAACTATACTACTAGATATATATAAATATATGACACATCCTATAACCCAGCTAAAATATGTGAACATGTAAAACTATACTACTAGATATATATAAATATGACACATCCTATAACCCAACTAAAATGTGTGAAAATGTAAAACTATAATACTAGATATATATAAATATGACACATCCTATAACCCAACTAAAATATGTGAACATGTAAAACTATAATACTACATATATATAAATATGACACATCCTATAACCCAACTAAAATATGTGAACATGTAAAACTATACTACTAGATATATATAAATATGACACATCCTATAACCCAACTAAAATATGTGAACATGTAAAACTATAATACTACATATATATAAATATGACACATCCTATAACCCAACTAAAATATGTGAACATGTAAAACTATAATACTACATATATATAAATATGACACATCCTATAACCCAACTAAAATGTGTGAAAATGTAAAACTATAATACTACATATATATAAATATGACACATCCTATAACCCAACTAAAATATGTGAACATGTAAAACTATAATACTAGATATATATAAAGATTACACATCCTATAACCCAACTAAAATATGTGAAAATGTAAAACTACAATACTAGATATATATAAAGATTACACATTCCTATAACCACCTACACGTACATGTATATAATACTTTACAACACTGATTTTAGATACTTACAATATAAACGTAGTGTCAAAACGTACCAACTCCTTAAAATATATAATGTATCTTATGAAAATATTTCCGTTTTTAATGAATTATATACATCGATTAAACCTAAATTGATGACTTTTTAATAGTTTGCCTAAAAAAATCTAATACAATTCTCACAGATCACTGAACACTGAATATATATAAATATATACAAGAAACGATATTATGTAACGAAGATACAATTAACTATATGCATTGCAAAGAGAAAGGACATTTAAATGTTATGTCTGCATGCAAAATACGCAAGGTTAAGAAAAGATAGCACTTGTACTTGCTATTTAGGGGTCACCAAAAAAAATGACTCCAATCGATTACATTCAGCCCTTATCTTATAGAAACATATCAGTTTTAAAGAAGAAAAAAGATGAACCAAAAGTTAATGTGATGTAGACACCGCTTGTTTAGTATTTAACTCAAGCAAAGAAGTATAAACTTTACAAATACACAATTACTGTAGTTTTCCTTAAAATATTTGCATTGAGTCTGTATACAAAATGTGTTACATACATTTTGAGAACTGTCGAATAGCAAGAAAAAAACTACAATGTACAGCATTGTTAATGAATGGTGTTAAATTTGGTTTCTTGTCATTTTGTCAAGGTGCTTGAGGCATAAACCCCCCTTTTTGTTGCGTGTGTTTAAGATGTATCTATTATATTTTCTTTAATATGTCGATTCATATTTCTTTTGTTTATGTGTTCTAGCTGTTATTCATTCAATAAATGAATCTTAAAACATAGAAATAAGAAGATGTGGTATGACTGCAAATGAGACAACTCTCCACCAGAGACCAAATGACATACAAGTTACCGTCAACGTACGGCCTTCAACAATGAACAAAACCCATACCGCATAGTCAGCTATAAAAGGCCACGAAATGGCAAACATAAAACAATTCAAACGAGAAACTAAAACAAAACAATGAACGAAAAACAAATATGATATATAGCAAAAACGACAACCACTGAATTACAGGCTCCTGACTTGGGACAAACACATACAAAATGTGGCGGGTTAAACTAGTTTGCTGGCGCTAACCCCCTACCCCCTCCCCCCCCTCTCTCTCTCTCTCTCTCCGTGGTGTAACAGTACACCATAAGAACAAACTAAAAAATCAGATGACAAGGGCTTACTGATCGGATCGATCCAAAGCAGAAAACATCTAACGAATACACAGACCGGATGTGGCGGGGTATTTATACATCCCCACAACAAAAAAGACACCAAGTACAGATCTGAGAGTACGAGCAGTTACTGGCAGCTAGTTCAAAGCCAATAACAACTGATAAAAAAACCATGTATTTAGAGTAAAATATCAATCAGTACACAAATACCTGGCTTTTATACGTACTGCCCCTCTGCTGAAAAAGTAGAGGGGTAGTACATATAAACAAGGATTTGGATAGACTATACAAATCCTTGGTATACACGACGGTTCTTGTAAGATTGAATGGATAAGAATAAGAACACATAAAGTAAGAAAGAATAAGTAATTACCAAGAATATTTAATAAAAACAATAGTAAACAAACAAATAAGAAATAAATAAATTGGGGGACTATGAATTGGGGGCCATGTCTTGAGTTGTTATTTTGGAAAACCCCTTGGTAGTTTAGTTGATAAGATTTATGGATAAAAATGATCTTATCCACTCTAACCCTTGTTTATACCTTTAAATCGACATAAAATGGAAACGTCAATTGTTTCAATCTATAATCTATTATGTGAAAATTATTTAAACACCATTGTAATTAGCTCTTACTTAGTACTATGATTACTGTCAACAAAACCTACAAAACTTAAGTCCTGTAAATGCCCGTAGATAAGTAAATACAAGTGTTTACCTTCAATGACTGCGTATATTTGCCAAATATGTTAATCCTTACATCTCAAGAATAATACTTCAAAAAATAGAAGTAATTTCATTCCATCAAAAATTGAAATGTCTCTCTTCTTGTTTTGTTGATAGGTAACAAAAAGTATCACATTTGGTGCATGTTTAATCCGGTGCATTGAATAATATCCAATATACTTATAGAATTCATTTTACTTACGGGTCAGGAAATATAATTTGACATAGACGTAAGAAATTCTAAACTTGATATGATAGTATTTTTCTATAGGTTTAAAGGAGATGATAAAAATGTTGACTTTATGACTTGCAACCAATAAACGTTCTACTTCAGTAGAATAATCAAAGAGGAACTAAGCATAAATATTCAGAGACAAAATTACTAAAGGAAATTAAAGTTATTAGAAAGAACACATAAAATCTGAAGATGCAACAATTACATGTTGTTTTGTGAATTGATAACACCATTTTTAATTAAATAACAATATTTACCTGATCTTTTCATCATATCTGCTGAAATTATCCAAAAATAAATAAAAATTGAGAGAATAAATCAATCAATACACTGACAATCAATGTTGGAGTTCACTTATCGTTTTATTCACGTCTTTATTTAAAATACAATACAATCTTTTTTATTGTCGTATAATGAATGGAACGTATATTTAAATCGATTCGACTTTTCTTGTAAAGGATATCGCTATGTTAAATGTACAATCCAATTTAATTGAAAGGGAATTTTGTGCAGTTAAATGTAATAGCTGTTTTATGGCGATAAAAAAAAAAGTTTTATTTTGGCCTTTAATATGAGTTTGAAATGATCTTATTCATAGTTGCTATGGAAACACAATATAAAACTACTTTGATATGTATTGATGCGTACTATTTCAATGTTTAAATGACATTTGAAAAAAAAACATTCATTTGTATTACTTGTTATACAATTTTGTTAACTGCTGTAACGCACAGTGTTTAAAATTACAAGAAACATCATTAGTACATATATGTCTCTAATTGTATCTAACATTTTTCGGACTTGCAGGACATCATGGTAGATCTTTATTTACCACTTGTTTAGACTTGGAACGAATTATAGATTGAAATATTATATACAATAAACAATAATCATTATTGTTTATTGCTGAGGACGGTATGTTGATCTCAAGATGTCGTTTGCTTCTTTTGTTGTTTGGTTGCCGTCTCATTGACGTACATTTTCAAAACTTCTTTTATGCATGGATATTTCCCATGCAGATTGTTGTTGTTAAGTTTTTAAAAAAAGGTAGTTTTCTATTTTGTACTGGACATATCACTTATGTATACGTTACCTCTATCGGTTTTCTCCAGTTCAGTTTAGGTCCCTAGGTTATACAACTCATTGTTTTACATGCATGCTTTAAAAGCTTTGGAAGTATATGAACTTTATTTGTATAAATAAGAAGATGTGGTATGAGTGCCAATGAGACAGCTCTGCATCCAAGTCACAATGTATAAAAAATTAACAATTATAGGTCAAAGTACGGCCTTCAACACGGAGCCTTGGCACACACCGAAAAGCAAGCTATAAAGGGCCCCAAAATGACTAGTGTAAAACAATTCAAACAGGAAAACCAACGGTATAATCTATATAAAAACGAGAAACGAGAAACACTAATGAACCACACCAACAAACGACAACCACTGAACAACAGTCTCCTGACTAAGGACAGGGTTTTTTTTATGCTTGGTTAAAAGAGCACTCGAAGTGCAATAGTTTCGATGAAAGTTTTTGACTGAGTTCGATGTTGTCAGTTATTCGATGTCGATGCTACTGCTGGTAAACCGTTTCTCCGCGCGATAGTATCATCCGCAAAATAATTTCTCGGCGCTAGTGATGACATTTTACTTGTTCAGATACTGCAGTTGAAAATGTTTTTTTTTTCTGTGTTTTTGAAAAAAACAACTAAGGATTTAATTAGAGCTGACCTTTGGTGGGTCTCAGGAACTCGTTTAAGACCATTTTGTTTGAATGGCTCCTTATTATACTTGTATACCAATTGCTCTACCAACTTTTACCAGTGTGTTTGTTTGTTTGAATTTTATCAGATGCATGCATTTTTCCCTTTTTTTTTAGGTGTAGCATGAATTTAATATAAATATGACCTGCTGAAGATTTATGATTTAATATTAACAAAAATTCTGGGAAATGTTAACAGACGGACGACATGCCCGAGTGATGACTAAGCATGTTTAGATCATGTACCGTTTTGTCAGGTGGGCTAAAAAGGTGGATTACCTCAAACTTATTAAAAACCGATATCTTTTAAATTAAAGATGTGTTGATAAAATAATCGAAATACTTGTTAAAAAACGTTTACAATCATTTAATAAGAAACGAACACAAAATGTTCAGCTGTGCATAAATCACTATATAAATGTATAATGCATTAGAAAAAATGGCTATTTAGTTTTATGTGTGTGATGTTGCAACTTCTTTCCTGCCCGGTGCATCTGAGTCAACTTCCTGTTTTTTGTTGGGATCTTGTTGCTCATCTTAGTTTTCGGCAAAACTTATTTGTAGCACGTTTGGCCGTATCTGTATTTCATTTAGACAAATCGCTGTCTGTCTTTTATTTTGTGTTTTAAACCTCATTTATTTATTCTTACTTAATTCCTCATTGCCCCTCCATACTAAATAATTGGTCTTTTCTTTGATAATGGTGCCTCTTTAAGCAACTCAAAACATGATTGTTTTTACATTAAGTCTGCTGTCGATCATGACAAGCGTGGGCTGCACGAGTGGTCAAAGAAATGGTAAGTTTGGAACATCCAAATCAATGACATAACATTATATTATATTATAAGTTTGAAAACTAACACAAAACGTCTTACGAAAGCTAAAATGTCGACTCTGCAGAAATAAACTGTATCTAACTGTATTGACATAGATGAGACAACTTCTAGAAAAATGCATGTATGATAATGTAATTTTGATAATTGCAGGGAGGAAAGTGTTTAGTTTGGGAGTATATGATTCACTTATTATAGATATAATTGGCGCTAAACTAGCTTTCTGTAACTGCGAGTACTCTTAGATCGGTAATTGATGCCTTTTTTTTTTTTTTTTTTTATTTCTTAGTGCCTCGTGCCAATCTAATGAGTCAAGCCATTTTCAACTAATTTCGACAGTTTGTTCTTCTGTTGGACTGACCCTGGTGAAGGACAAGGTTGAGCACTCACAAACATGTTAAATCCCTCCACATTTGTATGTGTCTGTACCCAGTCAGAAGTCTGTAATTTAGTGGTTGTCGTTAGTAGCTGTTAAATTAAAAATTTGCTTTTCGTATTTTGTTTCAGAATAAATCAGGCTTTTGTTTTTTTCTCGATTGAAATGTGTTTTTCATGGCTGGGCCTTTTATAACCGGCTATACACTTTGCATTCTGTTCATCGTTGAAGGCTGTATAGTGACATATAGTTACTTATCCATATTATTTGGATTCTGGATTCTGAGTGATAGTTGTCTCATTGATGATAATACCACACATCCTTAATTTTATATGTATATGTAAAAAAAATGAAAAGATAATTCTAGAAGCGGCAAGATTTGCTACAGGGTTGCGGGTTTTAATTCGACGAGAAATAATTTAGAGTTTGATTATGTGGAAGACCCTACATACAATAGAACAAGAAGATACAAATCGCTTATAACATAAGTCATAATTCGTCAGTTTGTTCTTTCAATCTTATTGCTTTTTCTTGTAGTCATGGATTTTTTTCTGTTTTTTTTTTTGCGACTTACGGCATTTGATTCCTCCCTTCGTAATTTCCTGACTTTATATTTATTTCGCCTTGTTTACAAAACTGTTAAACCAGCGATATACTTATCTTATTTTTAAGACTTTAAGACTACATTTGTATCTTTCACCAAAGATATGAGTTGGCTTGCATACCATATGTGTTACAAGAGAGTTGAAATAAGGTATTATGATGACGAGCCATGGTATCGTTCGCTCAAAATAACAATAACTACAAAGTCCACTTTTAATTTGTCGCTTTGTGTAGCTTATTGACAGTATTGACAAATGGTGATATTTTAAAGAAAATTGAGATAATCTGATGAAAGCAGCTGCATGTACGTAGTTAGTTTTCTATGATAAACCAAAATTTAAAATCTTGATGAATTCCGATACAACTGGAAAAGGAAATATCTATTATATCAGGAAGTCTTTACAACATAACAAAGTAGAGCAATTGAAAGCTTTTTTATAGAAGCCAAAGAATGGTAAACTGTTGACACAGAGATATGTCGCGCTTTAATGTAGTTTTGATAGTATATTGCAAATGTTGAAATAAAATGGCAATATTTAAACATGTAAAATATGCAAAACCATGACTGAAGGTGCAGGGCCAAATAACCTCCATGTTATCTGTCGATACCTGTATTTTGGTATTGCATAAGGTCATGTTTTTCTCGGACTATTAATGACGTCTTTACACTAAATCCATTGGATGTTGAATGTGTACTGATTGATATTTTAGTCGTAGATGCATCATTTTTTTTTATCAGTTCTTATTGGCTTTGAACTAGCTGCCAGTAACTGCGAGTACTCTCAGATCTGTACTTAAGTGTCTTTTTTGTTGTTGTGGGGATGTATAAATACCCCGCCACGTCTGTCTGTATTTTTGTTAGAGGTTTTTCTGCTTTGTATCGAACTGATGAGTTAAAACTTTTTCGAATGATTTTTTAATTTGTTCTTATGATGTACTGTTACACCACTGTCCCGGGTTAGAGGGGAGGGTTTGGTTCCCGCAAACTATTTTAACGCCGCCACACTCTGTCTGTGCATGTCCCAAGTCAGGCGTCTGAAATTCAGTGGTTGTCGTTTGTTGCTGTATAACGGTATCATATATTCCTACAGACAGAACCGATCTTGACTAGCAGTAGATGTACTTTTTATGACATATAATAAACTCCCACTCATATCTGAGGAGACACCAATATGTATGAATCATCAGTTATCTTTGACTGCTGGCAGTAGTATGTTTTATAGAAATTCTATACACGTATCTTTAAAGACAAGTAAAAAATACAATAAATTGTAGTCCGTCAAAAGGTATCAAAACTTTGACTTCTTCAGTTTGGCAAACAATATCCACGCAGAAAGAAAGAGGCGTCTTGTTTTTCGTTGATTACTTTGTACATAAACCAGGCCGTTAGTTTTCTCGTTATGTTTTATATTTGTCACTTCGGGGCCTTTACTAGCTGACTATGCGGTATGGGTTTTGCATATTGTTGAAGGCCGTACGGTTGCCTATAGTTGTTAACTTCTATGTCATTTGGTCACTGGTGGAGAGTTGTCTCATTCGCAATTATATCAGATCTTCTTATTTCTATAACTGCATATCAAAATAAAAATAAGGAGATGTGGTATGATTGCCAATGAGACAACTATCCACCAAAGTTCAAATGAAGTGGATGTAAGCAATTATAGGCAACCGTACGGCCTTCAACAATGAGAAAAACCCATACCGTATGGTCGGCTATAAAAGGCCCCGACATGAAAAATATGAAACAATTCAATTGAGAAAACTAATTTATAACAAAACAATTTACGAAAAAACAAATATGACAGCCATGAACCAACGACAACCACTGAACTACAGGCTCCTTACTTGGGACAGGCACATAAAGAATGCGGCGGGGTTAAACATGTTTGTGAGCGCTCAACCCTCCCACTAACCTGGGACAGTGGTGTAACAGTATAAAAAGTACTATAAAAATCTTTTGAAAAAGGCTTAACTCATCAGATGGATACAAATAGAAATACATCTAACAAAAACACAGAGTGGACGTGGACGGGTACTTATACATCCAAAAAACAAAAAGACACTAAGTACAGATCTGAGAGTACTCGCAGTTACTGACAGCTAGTTCAAAGCCAATATAACTAATGAAAAAAATCATGTTTCTAAGAATAAAATATCAATCAGTCCAACATCCAATGGATTTAGTGTAAAGACGTCATTAACAGTCAGAGAAAAACATGACCTTGTGCAATGCCAAACAAAGACCGTTGACATATCATAAGTGGTTTCCTTTAAACTAACCTTAACACACACTTTAACATGTAAACTATGCAAGAACCATGATAAGGGGACTGGGCCATATAAATTGATCTCCATGGAAATGAGCCTTACAAATGCAAAGCATTCAAATTCAATAGGCAATAACTGAAGGAGTGGGACCAAACAATCTCCATGGACATGAGATGTGCCAATGATAATACAACTGCATACCAAATATCATTGACCTTCCACTAGTGGTTCCCATTAAACTGACCTAATCACAAACTAATATATGTTAACTAAGCAAAAGTTGCAAGGTCAATAGATTATGACTGTGGGGCGGCGCCAAATAATCTCCATGGAGATGAGATGTACCAATGTTAATACAACTGCACACCAAATATCATATACCTACCAAGTGGTTTCCCATAAACAAACAAATACCGCAGGAAACAGCATGCCTAAGTCACGGTCTTTCGAATTTGTCGAATCAAAAGCGCAGAGATAATGCAATATGTATAACACTTTAACATGATATTAAGAACTAGGTTTTAAAAGTAATTATATTGCTTTTAACTCTTTACACTGTACACTGTAACCGTTCAGCACTTACGATAAAAAAGTTTTAACAATTTTCTTGATTCGTTTGTCACAATGTGGACAAAAGTCTATTGACCTACAACACTGCTCACACGTGACTCTATGTCCACAGTTTGTGAATAACATGCAACGTTCGTTCTTTCTACAGATGACACATAGCAGACTGTTCTTCAATTCAGTATTGAGGAGTTTTAGTTTCGCTGGATCTGAGATTTAAAAAAAACATATTATTATCATATTAGGAGATAAAAAGGCATTATACACGTGTATGTAGTATAACGAAATCCGAGTTCTATATTTTACTTAGATTGACGTGTAATTAAACAGTTGACACAGATATATGCAAATGATGAAATTAAAATGGTAATGTTTAAACATGTAAACTATGGAAATCATTCAAATTCAATAAACCATGACTGAAGGTGTAGATCCAAATAACCTCCATGGAAATGAGAAATGCAAATGCTTATCTAACTGCATACCAAATACCATTGACTTATCATAAGTCGTTCCCTTTGCATTAAAAATTACTTTTGTACTGAATAACAAATCGATCAGTGAGAAATAAAATAAAATGAAGTATTATTTTTTATTTGCAAAATCACAAGTTTAGATTGCGTTCGAAAGATGACCAATGCCAAAAAATAACAATTCAAACCGATTAACGCTGATAAAATGGGCTGTGGCATTCTTATTAATAAAGGATATATCCATCCGTTTTCATTCACGTTTACATTTCCTTCATTTTATAACATATTGTTAGCTATATCATTCTGATACAAATAAAGTTGTTAAGGTTGACCACACGGCAATTGAGAATAAAAAGAAAGAATTTGCAAATTTGAAAACAAAATATTGTTTGATTTCAGATGAACGTAGAAAACAACGAGTGTCATTGTTGATATTTTTAACTAATTTAAAGATAAATATGATAATTTGCAGGAAAAAAAAACAAATCATCTTTTACCACCATAATGATGGATTCTAAAATGCTAAATCATGTCAATGAACATTTTAAACATTTAAGAAATTTCCATAAAGTCGATAGTTCTCATACACTGTCATACCATATAATAATAATATGTCATTTCGGGCCTGTTATAGGTTTCTATGCGGTATGGGTTTTGCTCATTGTTGAAGGTCGTACGGTGATTCGTAGTTGCTTACTTCTTTCAGTTGGTCTCTGTTGGAGAGTTGTCATTTGCAATCATACAACATCTTATTTTTATAATGCTGAACTTTTGACTCGATGCTGCAATAGTAACTCTATACAAGTTGAAAAAAATAAATATGATATACATACATTATTGTTCGATATACTTTTTACCTTTATGTGAAAAGTTATGTATTAATCGTGTGTTTTTAATTATATCAGCTTTAATTAGTTAAAGTTTATTGAAATTTAAATTATATTGCTTACCTCTCTCTGTTGGAAATGGTCGTGGTGGTTGACTCGAAGCTGAAATAGCAACACGAACTCCATTATTTAAAAAAAAATTGGATAAAACATGAATCATTGGTGGAAAATTGCTGTTTGCGATTTAACCATTTTAAAGAAAATTGGTAGATTTCCTGTATCACATTTCTAGCAATTTTGAACACATACATGCAGATTTTCGTATGCATAACATGTGTTTTCAAAAAATAAATTCCCCGTGAAGAGTTTCGACAGTATCATTTCTTTGTTAGTAGATTGTATGTTATTAAGCAAAATTGAGCATCCTCTGAACTACAATGTATATTAATAGGCGTTGTTTTACTTTTACTGTACGTGTGTATGTAGTCAATGTTACATCTGTATTGAAGAGTTCAGTACGTTTTCTGAAGCGATTTTTATTGTTGGTTCTTCTGGCACAGTGTACCATTTGTTATTCACTGATCGAATAAATAATAGAACTTAGTATTGAGTGCTTAAAATTTGTAAAACAGAGAATATGTCCTTGGATCATTCAAAAGTTTGGACCCTCGCCGGTTTATTCACAACGAAATATTTATTGACCTACAGGATTTGGTGCTGATTCCAAAAATCGGTGTACATTGTGTAGATTCAATCGAATGTTTGCTTCCATTAAATTATGCTCCCATCCGAGAGTAAAAAATCGGGAAAATAGACGTGTATAATAGTTCTAATTCCTTTTGAAAAAAAACCAATATTTTAGGAAAAGCTGCATCCCTATACTGAGAAAATCGGATTAAAAAGAAATATGCGTAACTTTTCAATATATCATGGTAATGGTAACGTGTTTGTTGAAATAATAGGGATGTTCGTAACTGTGTTAATCCTCTTTTAATACATCATGCACATTCAAGATGAGAATAAGTTAACGTTCATCAAATGGTCGAGTCTTAAATCTGACAAGTGTGTAAAACAGGAAAGTATTTAAGGTTAAATATGGACTATTCTAAAGAATTTGTGCTAAGGTTCTTTAAAGTGTGCAGAGCTGGACATTATTTCGACATGGGCATGCTATAATTATTATCTGTAAGTAGGCTACAATAGAAAAATCGACACAATTAAAACTCATCTTGAACCGTGTTTTCAAGTTTTGAATGTATTTTACTTGAGTGACGCGTAGTCGTTTTTAATGAACTTAGGGTTTCAATGAAATAAAATGTGAATCTACTTTGTGGCTACAGCACTGTTTAACACTGTTCAATGCTACCTTCCTTTAATACTATCTGTTAACGATTTATATGTAAGGTTTTTCGTAAAATTAACATAATTTTTTCGCTATTAGTACTCTGTTTGGAAAACAATGGATTCATGAACATTAAACAAATTATCAAATAAGATAAAAGTCGTTCCAATTTGACGAATATCTTATTTACCAATTGTCTCGTCTTCCATGTTGAAATGTTGGTAACTTAAGTTACGCGCATCCGCTTTCCCCAAGTCAACATACCGTTTAATATTTCATGGTATGTTTGCAGCAGTTTGAGACTTACTGAAGTTTTACAACACTCAAAGGTTTTTGCTTGTTTTGTTGTTACAAATAACCACATATCGTCGCAATCCAAGAAGGACAATAAAATTTCGCAATTCAAAATGGACTATAAAAGTAAGCAATCCTATTCAATGACCAACTTTTCTTTCTTGGCAAGCTCTTACTGCAATATAAACATTCTATATCTACAATGTGGTTTTGATAGTTTCTAAAATTAATAATTTATCAACTGTTGCAACTGAAAATTAACGTATTTTTAAGGGTCAACTAACAATGAACGGAATTAAAAAAGTCTGCATGACAATGTCTTACCTTCACTAGACTGCGAATGTGTTGACTGAGCAGGTTCTATTGGATCCAGTATAAACTCTAACAAATCTTCAGTATTGAAATCACTATGTCCTAAATGTAATAATAAGAATGTTTATCTTCATTCTCTCGCCTTTAAAAGCTCTGGATTATTTAGAGTTTGACATATAGTATATCAATCTAACCACCATAGTAAAATCTTGAAATATTGTTGTTTTTATCGGTACAGAACACTGATTTTTTTTATGAAAAATTAAAATTAAACCATAACTAATGTAATTCTATTGTTGTCGTTGGTTCATAGCTATCATATTTGTTTTTTTGTAAATTGGTTTGTTGTAAATTAAGTCGTTGGTTTTATCGTTTGAATAGTTTCACATTTTTTATGTCGGGCCTTTTATAGCCGTCTATACGGAACGGTTTTGTTCTCTCTGTTCAAGGCCGTAGAGTGACCAATAATTGCTTATATCCACTTCATTTGAACTCTGGTGGATAGTTGTCTCATTTGGCGATTATACCACATCTCCTTATTTTGATATCAATGATTAAACCACAAGATAAAATTGAGAATGGAAACGGGGAATATGTCAAAGAGACAACAACCCGACGAAAGAGCAGACAACAGTCGAAGGCCTTCAATGGGTCTTCAACGCAGCGAGAAAATCCCGCACCCGGAGGTGGTCCTCAGCTGGCCCCTTAATAAAATTGTGTACTAGTTCAGTGAAAATGGACGCCACACTAAACTCCAAAACATATTAATAAAGAGTATCATTATAACCTTTATCAACAAGTCTATTGAGTAAAACAGAAAAGATTTAAAAGACATGTTGTATTCCTGTAAGCTTTAAAATATATATCTTCTTCAAATTTCATTCATAGAAAATAATTGCTTTCTAATAATATAATGCAAATTATAATGTATAGAATTTGAAAATACTATTCTTATGTTTTCAAATATAAACTGCTGATTGTAAATAATTACTTTTTATTTAGCAAAGTGTATTAAAGAATAATCTTGAAGTATTAGGCCCGGTCAAGTTTGTTAGAACGACAAGTATTACAACTTTAAATATCAGTATAATTACTGTGAATGTTTAGCAATGGACTGATGTTTGTTATCAAAACGTTTAAAAGATTTTATCTTTTTGTTCTTCTCTGTTGGATGCGTTAGTCATATTGAATACATGGGACTCTTTAACTTTATGCCACGTGATTTCCATTGACTTACCGCGAGTTCTGATAAAGCTGTTGATGGCAGACTTTACATTGTTAATGGTAAATCCCATTCGTAGTAATGTCTTTGCATGTTCAGTATTTAGAAATGAACTATCTCCTAAAATAAAACACATTAAACAAGATATTGATTGTAAAATGACATGTTGAAGGTTGTTGTTTTGTGTTTTGGTTCATTTATATTTAAGGAATGACTGTAATATTTTTTCTGTCCATTCGAAATAACATCAAAAATGTGTGGTGCTCACTGAATAACCCGCGTAAGTGTGCACCACATTTTTGATGTTATTTCGAATAGACAGAAAAAATATTGCAGTCATTCCTTATAATTTAATTCTAAATCCCATTTTTAAGGAGTAAATCATGAAAAACCGTTGATGGCGTCACGGTTACATGACAAAATTATGTCAATGAGGTGATAGACAATCAGAAGACGTGTTAGATCCAAAATTAAATTATTTCACAATAATATTGTCCTTGTCTGCCATGTCTGACTAGAGAGATTGAAAAAAAGCCAAAGTCGAATCTACTATCCAACAAGCATCGTCATAATATAATAAATCTTTATGTTACCTACCTAACCGATAATCCAATAAAAAATATGTAATTCAAATTAAAACGTTCAACATTAATACGTTTTGAGGATCAATAATGGTTTTAGATTTTCGACATGAGTCTGTTTGTTGTATAATGCATGTAAACTGCTTTTCGGTAAGGGAACAGTAGTTCCGGTGTACAATGATTTTTACCTGACATACGGATATTACTTTGATGCCAATTCTTAAAAAATGTTCTGATGACCAAATAATTTAAAAGAGTAAGACCAATTTCACAGGTCTGTATTTTGTTTCACTCAAACTCAGAAAGTTGTTGTTATTTTTTGTTGTTGAAAAGTACTGTAATTTCAATATTTTAGAGTCTTAATAATAACTCATTTGGGCCAAAAATTATTCAGAAAACAATTTTGATACACAATATTGCAAGGTTATTGTAAAATATATTGCACCAAAGGAAATCAATTACCAAATAAATAATGTGTTGTATTCGAAAGACAATACATGCCTTCATTTCCGGTAGAACAACTTTTTACACGTTTCTCTGTTAATAAAAAAAAAAAACAACATAAATTTGACAAATTATATAGTTTTAATGCATTTTGGGAATTATTTACGTATCAAATGTTCAGAAATACGCTATAATGTTTTAGAAGCTCCATGTGATGAAATAAATAGCTTACTACAAAAAACTTTGGTGTTAATCGGATAAAGTTAAAAAATAAACTAAAGGTAATTCTAGTAAAGAAAAAGAAATGGAATTCTTATCGCATAATATAATACTGGATTCATTTCTAAAACTAAAGAGAGATTACCTTGTCCTTCAAAAGAATTTGTAGTATTGACAGAAGCCTCTTGACGCTGAAAATTAAAATATATTTTACCAGTTGCACGAGTCATATATAATCAACATAAGGAACAGCAATAAAAGCGCAATACTTTTGACATTTATATATGTTATATTTTTTGTAGGTCATGGGATGTTTTTAATCTTTTCTTTTTTTGTCTTGATTATTTGATGTTTTTATTTGCATATCATATCAAAGGTCATACATGACGTACTTTAAAAAAAGGGACAGATGGGATGATATTAACATACATGTAAGTGGTGTTGCTTTTATTTATTTTTTTAAGTATATTTATGTGATAAAGATATTCCATAACGATTAACCAATTAATTATGATAAGTTGTTTGATTTTATTGAACTAATAGCCATCTTGTAAGCAAAAAACTCTCTATTGTTTCAAATTAAACGAAATGTAAGCCATGAAATATCAAATCAACTAAGCGACGCTGCTGGAATGTTAGTTGCTCGGTAACTTCCAAGGAAGATATACAGTGGGAACTTGGGAGTAAACACTGAAACTGTTCGGATTCAGAATACTGGTAATGTGTCGGTTTTTGGTACATATATTCACAAAACACATCCCCAGCATTGTTATGAGGGAGAACGAATAAAATCTGTATAGTTTCTGTTAAGGGTCTTAATATATTCATCGTTTTTTTTTTGCCATGGTGTTGTCTGGTTTTTTTTCGACTTATTGTTTTTGATTGCCGCCTTTGTACCTTCTACCCGTTTAAACAATGGCAATGACATCCTTCCTCTACTTCTGTTCAGATAAAACACACAACTAATTATTTTTTAAGGTCGAAGCTACTTAAAGAAATTGAACGGGACCAGTCTCTTGTTTTGATTTCTTTTTTTATTTATTACCTGATATTTTTCTTTGATACTATCGATGTACCCAGTTCCTTTCATTTTGATAAGATATTTACAATGTGGAAACCACCGTGCGTGTTCTTCCCAAGGGACATCTCCTGATTCCCAGTTTCGTAGTCCTCCATCACAGTAGTGGCAACGAACTATATCATCTTCCCCTGAATTAAAACAATAATGATAAAAAAATTGCTGTTTTTTACAGGTCACCCTGAGCTAATATATCTTTATTTTTAAATGATTATAAACCTATCTGAAGGAGTTGCAGAAGTTTGAGTAACTGCTGTACGAATCTGACACATATTTAATATCATAATCATTTCCATTGGTTGTAATAGTTTCATAATTTCATTGGCTTTTTCAGAATCAAGAGTGTAAATCTCATAACTCGAATGCCTTAGCGTTTTGGGAATTTTTTATCACGACAATGTTCAAAATTGCATTTCGAAGTTTGAATCGCGATATAGGACATCAGTCACTAAATTTAAAATTTCGAAACCTGAATCGACAACTATTTATCCTGGCTTTTGTAAAAATACAAATGGTGTCGCATATGTTTTTATAACTATGAAATACAAGTTCAAGAACATTTAACTAATAAATAGTTCATGTACCTGTGAAGAAGAAACCAGCATCCGCCAAATTTTCCGGTGTCTGTTCTATGTCATCTCGCCATCCATCAAAGGTCGCCAACCGTGATAGCAAGTCATCAAAGGCTGGATTCTTAGGTTTATATCGCTAAAATAGAGGACTAAATATATATATTTGAGTAGATATTTCCTTGCAATTTTATATGTTGGTTATCCTGGTTCCTAAAAAGATAAACACTCGTTCGCAGTTTCCGTCCCTCTTCTGGTGAGAATTTACATTTAATGTGTCTTTAATATCTCAGCTTGTCATCAGCTCCTGTCTTTTAATATGTGTAAATATTGGACATTTAGCACAGTCATGAGTCACATGATCATATCAATTCCTAGACTAATAATTTTGAATTTGAAATAAAAAAGTATGTAAATATTTGAACGAAAATGCTGATCAATATCTAATTTATTTTAAAACTGATTAGACATGTAAACAAAGATAGCGACAGATTGAATATCTATTACAATTTCGTTTAAAGTTGAAGTAAAATATCATGCATCAATAATCGATGATTCTACATTGTCGCTCCTTCGATATACATTTCGATATTACAACGTTAAAAACACGACTAGAGTAATAAAGCTATGTAGCAATGGACCTGGTTTCATCACATCAGAAAATTAACAATTAAATTTCGGATGAACGAATCTTAACTTAGTAGTGTCAGCATTCAACTTGTATGATACAGTGACATCGCGCCCATGAGCATGATAACGAGAAATTTGTTCTTCAAACAAACTAAGTTTTAGGATAGACTAAGTTATCAAGATATACATTTTGTGTATTCCGAGATAATACTTATTGCAAAGACATAATACCAATTACAGTTTTATCGACAGATACCTTTGATTTAATTAATTAAATACCTAATGTGTTCCATATTTGTTTATACTAGTACTTTATTGCTATATAGCAATGCTGCATGGCTGTATAGCCTAACTAGATGCTGTACAATATTTACTCAATGGTTCCTTGTGAAGACAATCTGATGGTATAGAGATATGGATCAGCAGTTTGATATATATGACATTAGCGGAAGTCGAGGACAATAACCAAAAATATCAAGCATTCTATAGAAGACACACTCATTTTATGTAATTTGGAAATGATCATGCAATTTTATTTAATTTTTTTTTGTTTGTATCTCCGACATATACCTTTTTCCATTCCTCTTGAATGCTGTCTATAAATCGTTGTCCCTTTTCCTTTCTGAGAAACCAACATTTAGGATTATGTCGTGCATGTTCTGTCCATGGGTCATCTGTTCCTGCCCATTCGGCTAACCCAAGATTACAACAAAAGCAGCGAACAATATCATTTTTACCTGACAGATGAATGTACATGGATATAATAGGTGGGTTTGATGAGACACATTATGATCCTATATATCAAGCAAAAATATCAAGCAGGATTTAATGGCTATTATTGTCAACACATATTTGTTATGCATATTAACGATAGAATTTTTATTTCTTGTTTTTTTAGAACAGCTTGTCAAAATCGACCCATTTAACGTTCTCACATTTTTATGTATCGACTTGAAAAACCTTTCGTCTTGAAACCCGTGACAAATACGAGCCATGGTGGATGTCTCATGATTGAAAAAAAATTGTTTGCAGTTTTGAAACAAATCATTTTTATAATTACAAAAGATATACAATGATGTTGTTTGTCAGGACTCACATATTTTATCTATAATTAACTTAAAGGATCATAAAGCGATCGAGCTCAATTTATTTTTATATCGGATATTAATGTATTTGAAAAAGAATTCTTCTTTCAAATAAAACGTAATGCATACTGTTATATCTATACAAACCTGTGTAAAAACATCCGCTTTCTGCCAAAACTGTTGGTGCTTGCTTTGCATCTACGGGCCAGTTGGTATAAGATGACATTCGTTGCTGTATTGTCTTGAACTGTGGATGTGAAAATTCCGGTTCATAAGGTACTTGTTCCGATTGAAGATTAGTTATTGGGTGGTCTATGTCTATTGATCTGCTGTAATTGTTGCCTGTCATGGCCGACTTGTACGATACATTATGTGAACTTGGTCGGTAAGTTCTAAAGTTATTTGATATAAATTCTGGTGCGTGTACCTCCCTTGACGTTGCTCTGTGAACAGGTGTTGTATAATTGTTAGTTACTTCATTATTGTATGGAATATTATGGCGTGAACCCTGGGGTATATATGAATTTAGATTGTATTGGTTATGTATAGTAGTATCGGGACTATTGTGGTTCAAGGTGTTTTTGTTACCATCGTTCTTTTGTACGGTATTTGTCAAAGTTGTCTCTGATTCCTGTGTTAATTGTTTTCTATTCGTACCGAAGCTTCCAAACTCATTCAGTGAAGATTTAGCTGCTTGTTCTGACGTTTCTTGGGTCGGATTTGATAAGACCGGGGCAAATAAGAAATCGTCACCACCAGTTGTATTATTAATGTCATTTGACGTAATATTACTCGTTTGAGTGTCTCTTCCAGAGTATGAATCTACATTTGTCCTTAACCTTATTTGCAAGTTGTCTGATTCTACGGAATTTTCAACAATTCTTTCACAATCTTCACTGCCATTTCTTTCGTCAAGATTTAATTTGTGTGCATTTTCCTGGCTTATATTATTGTCATGGTTTTTCACTTGTGTACCTCGCCATGCATATTTTTGTACTTCAATTCCTGTTTGTTTATGTGTATCATTTAAGTGTGGAAAATTGCCTTTTATGAACTCGCAGTCACTATTAAGTTTAAAATGCACAATCTCAGGTCGCTCATGTCTTTGCCAATGGTCAACGGCTGTCGTTACTCCACAAGTTGCACATTTAATAACTGTTCCATCTTGTGTATAATAGAAACCCGCATTAGAAAGTTGCTGGGGCCATACGTGTGTTCTGACAGGCCAATCGGAGTAAGTGTGTAGACGTCTAGATGGATTATCTATCATCAAATTGTTCTGTACTGGATTGACAGTGCCCAGGGAATTTGATATGAACGCAACAACTTGTATTGTTGATGACCGTTTGTGAACAGCTGTTTGCATGTCTTTCAAGTGTACATATTTTTCGGAAACTCTAACATACGATGCATCCATATTCGTCCTTAATGTAGGCATTTCCCGATGTCTTGGTTTTTGTTTTTGTCTGTGCTTTATTGTAAATACTTTTTCTATTTGAGTATCACAACAATGACTCACTGCCGCGCAGAATACTTTATAGTTAATTGGAATTTGAATCAGTGCGTTCCATAACGAAACTTTATTAGACGTATCTTCATCTATACGCCCCGATTCAATATCTGGTAAGATATCAAATAAAACATTTCTGCAAATATATTGGACATGTGGTAATAAGTCTTTCTGTTGTATTTCAATACAAAGTTCCTCAACTGTGTTAAATTTCTGGAAGTACTTTAGTTGAGCATATGCGTCCTGATATAATTCGTTTTGAAAATTATCAGCTTGAGCGTCAATAAAATCGGGTCCTTGAGAACACGTACTTGCACAAATTATTTGATCAGAATTTCCTGATTTTGTCTGGTATTTGCATTTCGGTATTTTTTTCATTTTAGTATTTGGAGTTAAGTCTATAAAATCTAAATTCTTATAAAAATTCTCACCAAATTCCTCCATGTCCGATTGAATTTGCATACTGATTGGCAAAGTCACAACTTAAAGATCATAAACAGCTATTCTTCTCTCCATAATTCATTTTTATGCTATACATTTCTAAATCTGTAATTAAATAAAACCATTTGGGTGTTAAAAAGTTCATTGCACAAAGGTTTACATCTATTATCAGAATTAGGTTAAATATTCGATCAGACGGATAAGGGGGGATATATGATATTATATATTTGCGAAGACGGAATTGTAGATGATTTATATTTTGTTTTGTTGTGGGTTTTTTTCCAGTAAAAATTTTGCCTTCACCTTGACACACATCCCATACCTTCTTTGTAAGGAGAAAAAATACATCAAGGAAAACCTGATAGGTAACGCACGCATTGGAATATCGTGTCAGTATAAATACTCCACATGCAGATTTAATGTTATTGTTGGTATAAATACAAACGAAAAGATAACAAATAAAATTTTAACTCATCTCTTGTCGTCAAAGTTAGCATTCAAATGACGCTCACTGTCATTTTCTATGTCAAATTCAGTATAAAAACTAAACGTACAATATATATATTGTACGTTTGTTTCAACATCAACGGGATAGATATTTATAAAGCTACCAATTAGAAAACCTTCATGGTAGCACGATGGTTGTTATAAGCCAGGGGCGGATCCAGCCATTTTTAAAAGGGGGGGTCCCAACCCAGGATAAAGGGGGGGGGGGGGGGGTCCAACTAGTTGTCCCCATTCAAATGCATTGATCGTCAAAAAAAAGACGGGGTTCCAACCCCCGGAATCCCCTCCCCCTGGATCCGCCACTGCAAGCAAACACATGAGCACGAGTCCTAAAGTCTTCAATACTGCACCTCGATAGTTTTCAGATCTTATAATTAGGATCAGGATCAAGGACTTTTTACGCGGCGATCTTGAACATATAAATAAGCAGAACAAATGACCATATGCATTTCTCGCATGTTCTATTTCTCCAGATATACAGTGTAAAATATGATATAACTACGTAACAACGTAACAGATCTTCAGAAAACCCCGAATGTTGATTTCATTCGAAAACTTATTACGATTTTGTCATTCTCTTACATAGTTACAAGTGCATAGAGGTGTCCGTAGTACGTCGACGATCACTTAAACTAAAATGGAAGCTTCAAATCTTACTTAATGTTCACTGTTCCTGATATTTAACGACTGAAGATTTAAACACCAATTACTGTAACTTGACTGTAAGTGTTGCTCTCCACCTATTGCAACTTATTCAAAATTCTGACCAAATTGCAATTTGTTTTATAAAACCAAACTGTTCAACTGGTCAGAAATTTGTACAAACTGCTGTAGAAAACCACAGTCAAGTCGTGAAAGTGCAAGGGGATAAAAATAAAACATACTTACAATCCTATAAGACTTTAATTCCACTTCATTGATATTATGAAAAATCAGTCTAACAGTTTGTGTACAAATTTTATTGTAATTGTCATGCTGAAGGTGATAGTTAGTAATTTTGAATTGCTATAAAAATGTCCAAACTAAGCTTTCATACGTGTTTTCTTTTGAAAAGTCTTCTTTATTCATAAGAATCATAAGAATCAGACATCATTTGAATTAAAACATCTTATATTCAGTTAAATATGTGTGAAATTGCAATACGTTGTTAGGAAGTTTCCATGAAAAGGTGGAGAGCAACAATAACAGTCAAGTCACAGTAAAAGGAAAATATCTTAAATAATAGTAAATCCAGAATTCAATGTTAAGAATTTTACATTGTTTCGTTGGTCTTTTTAAGAAATGGGACAATTTTAAATAAGATTCATTTGAAATGACAGAAGTTATAGATGTTCCGATTAATGAGATTTGAACAGCAGTTGAAAGGTAAATGTGTTCTTAATATGTGATGTACGATTAACAAATAAATGTTATTTATTGTCATCTTCTTCTATGTATAATGTTTAAAAGATGTCAAGGCGTATAAACTGGTTACCTTGATTAACAAAAGCAAATCATCATTTTACTCATAGACCTCATTTAATAAAAAGATGTCATACAGTTTTAAAATAATGAAGAGATGCACTTTGGAGATCATGCAAAAGTGATATATTAGTCTTTTTATAATTCATTTATAGATAACTGTAAATGACATATTCATATTGCAAGTATATGACATTATATAAGAAAACGCTTCGAGACCACACAAAATGCAAAAATTGTGATATTATCGATAACGTCTTATTATCGATTTTTTCTTGCTTGAGCAACAATACGGATGCCACACTTGTACCAAGAACTGCTTATCCTCCAGGAACACTTGAGTTAACCCCTGGTTTTGTGTAGGGTTCGTGTGCTCAGTCTTTAGTTTTCTATTTAATGTTTGTTATTGTTGTTTGAATTTGTTTTCTAGACATGGTGTTGTCTGTTTTTATTGGACTTATGCCTTTTTGTTATATTCTCTCTCTGTTTTACTACATGTATGCATGTTACTCCATTGCTTTTCATAAGACAACACTTTTAAATTAGTACTGCACACAGTCAAAAGAATTGCCACTTACTGTTTATTTCTCAATAGTGAAGCAATTACATTTGTAAGTTTGTAAAGCTTATTTCAATTGAATGAACTGTTTGAATTTGATTATCAATGATATAACTATCTCTGGAAGACAATCAGACAAGGAAGTGAACAATTGCAAATTATACATTACGGACACTGTATATAACGAACGTCTTTATAAAAATTAGATTTATATCGATGCAAATGAGACAATTCTCCACCGAAGACCAAAGCACAAATAGTTTTAAACAACTAAAGCGTAAGCCTATAGTAAGTAATTTTACCTTCTATAATTCGCTCATTGACTTTATCAATAACGCAGTAAACATTTTAAATGAGGAAGAAAAATGTTGAATTTAGGTCAACTTTTTATTGTGTTCATTTAACCTTTTGGTAAGTGTGCATCCTGCTAGAGCCTACACAACTTGTTCAAATGCACATCTTTTCACACATAATTTGTGGAGAGTTGTCTCATTGACAATCATACAACATCTTCTTATTTTTATATTATACCAGATGGCAAATATCTCTTTTTTTGTATCGGAATTTTAAAGTTTACAATAATATAAAACATTGATTATGCTAGAGAAATACTTGCGTAGAAAACTTTACCTGTATAACAAGTAATTCTAAACCTTTAATGACTTATTATGAAATATTGCATCAATGGTTTGCTTTATTCGTGCAACTTACAGTGTGAGTTTTAAATTCTATGTACCATCCACTGGCAGGATGTTGTCACAGGGGGAAAAGTTTGTAAGATTAAGCTAATCGAATTTCATGTTTCAGTTTGTTTTTCAATTAGCTACATTTACTTCAATCTTACCTATTATTCTTTTATCTATGTCTAGGTTAGTCTATGAAAAGGTATATACTATGAAATTTAGAGCGAGGGGCTTGCCCCAAGCTCTTAATTTCATAGTATATACCTTTTCATAGACTATCCAATTTAGCACATATTATAACTCGAGTGATCTTTTAATTGATCTATTGATAGTTTATTTTGGCTGACTACTGGTAACACAGGTGTTTGTAAAACGGAGCTCTATAACGAAGTTTTGTAAATCTACTCACTAGTATCATGGTAAAATATGTGATTTCAAAAGGCCCTCGACTCCAGAATGAAAAGATGGTAGCTGCTGGTGTAAGTATGTTTATTCGTATAAAGCGGTGTTTTACTATACACGTACTTCCTTACATGGTAAGATGACAAAATAAATTGACCAAAAGCAGGCAATAATTAAATTGCAGTGGAAGCTTTACATGTCTTGAAAACATTTTTCAACTTCACAGTAAAACTTAAGCTATAATAAATTTGAAACATATAGATAGTATGCAGTGACGGATCCAGGGGGGGGGGGGGATGTCCGGGGGGGGGGGGGGGGTGGGGGGGGGGGGGGGGTGGAAAACCCCCATTTTTGGACGATTAATGCTGTTGAAGGGGAAATATAGTTGGAACCCCCCTTTATCCTGGGTTGGAACCCCCTTTTAAAAATGACTGGATCCGCCACTGGTATGTTCCCATAGATAACCTAGCGGATAGTCATTAAAAAGCAACTACAAATAGAAAAAGGATACTAGGGTTTATTTTTTTTTTTATTTCAAAGTAAAAGCTAAAAGATGTATCAGAGCATGTATGTACATATATATATATATAGGTGGCACATTCTCTTCCGACATTAGAACGGTTTTTCAATTCATTACATCGTCCTGAACATGCATGACATATTTGCCACTAGACATTAAGCAACCAATAATCAATCAATCAATCAATTCATGACGAAATAGATCAAGTTGCCTTAATTTCCCTTCACAAGGTTTCAAAGTCCACACTTTTTTGTGTACAAAGTAATTGCGTGGATGATAAATTATCACAATTTTAAGATGGCGTTGTACTCTAATCAAGGTATAAAGAACCATATTTGTTACTCTTTATTTAAATGAAAGAAACTTGCAATCGTCAAAAACAATTTTTAGATCCAAAAATTTTAATAGCAGGATATTTAAAAATCAATGTGAAAACTATATTACCAACTATTTAATTTAATTTGGAACACAGCATTTTATTTCAAAATAGCCAGTGGCAATTTTTGTTTTAATATCTTGATTACGATACAATGAAATCTTAACCTTGTGGTCATTCATGCGTAGTTACTTAGAACACGGAAAAAGTATGTACTATGAAAATTAGAAGGCAAATTCTAGCAATTTGATTGGACGAGAAGTTGTAAGTATGTGCTAATTAATTCGATAAATAAGTCTGTAAGTTCTGTTGTTAATTATTTTGCTATGTGCTAATTTTTCTATAATCCGTTAACATTTAGAGAAATATTTGTCAAGTCTATTCAAGTAATTTTTAGTTTGTTATATAAACTGTTTTATCATTTCGATATGTCAGATTGGATTTAGTATTACACTGAGCAGTTCCAACTCTGTACAATTGTATTCCATGCTGCATTTGTATGCACCTGTCCTAAGTCAGGAGCCTGTTGTTCAGGAGTTGTCGTTTGTTGATAAGTGGTTCATAAGTGTTTCTCGTTTCTAATTTTTTATATAAATTAGACCGTTGGTCTACCCGTTTGAATTGTTTTACACTAGTCATTTGGGGGCCCTTTATAGCTTGCTGTTCGGTGTTGAGCCAAAGCTCCGTGTTGAAGGCCGTACTTTAACCTATAACTGTTAACTTTTATACATTGTGACTTGGATGGAGAGTTGTCTAAAGTCATTGGCACTCATACCACATCTTCTTATTTCTATGAACTATTAAATTATATATCGCGGAAACCAGAGTCGTCATTTGTTGCAAGAGTTAGTCTCACGGAGTCAGAGTCGGTGCAGACTAGTCTTATTGTTTATCGTGTGTGTATGTGGTTGCTTGCCAACACACATATAGCCCGTTACAAGATACACCCAGTTCTACTTGTGACAATGTCTATCCTATTTGTACATAATGGTGGATTTGGGGTGACATTATTTTTTTTGTAGCTGTTTGTTTAAGTTTAATATTTTTAAATATAAGTCCAACTCATCTTGTTATCAAATTTAAAAAAAATAACAATCACATGTGTTAATGCATACAACATAGTTGCAAGCAAATCAGTGACAATAAATGAAATATCTTTACATTTAATTTTGATGGAAAGTCTTAAAATACAAGTCGAAAAGAAGTAGAATTTTGTAATATAACACTTTCGAGTTCGTCACAAGTTGCATTTCCTTTAAAAACTTTGGTTTTGGTGAACATCATTCGTGCGTCACTTACTTCCCATGTTGAGCGAGCGTATATAATGCTATATTGCACAAATTATTTGGCAAATTGAATTCTTATAATTGATAATCAGCACTGCTGTCATTAGGGAATTGTTATTAAGTACCTACGGAATTAACATTATTTCTAGTTTATCCTGCATAATGACGATCACGAAGATGCTTGATAAAGTTTAATAGTGCAAGAATACAGGCGATCCTCTCTATCTAGTAAATGACGTTATAAAAGCGCACAAAATTGACGAACTTTTCCGGACAAGGACATACCTCAAAAAGTGGTCTATTGTGACTCTTTCTTAATCTTAAGCTTCAATTATCTTTATTACTTGTCATTTGCTTTTCTATCTCATATTTCTCATTGTAGAATTACTTAATCAGTTAGCTTAAAGAAAAAAAAATATATCATCGCTTAACTGGTTTGTAAATACAAAGAGATACTGACTGTCAGACTCATTTAAAATCTCTTCAAGTGTTTGCGGCTGTATATACAATGTATATGAAAGACAATTTTATTTTGAACTCTGTTGTTTTGTCGTCAATAATAAACTTGCAATATGCGTTGATCATATTGATCTTAATTCATGATTGATGTATTGACTCTAATTATTTATCAATCATTTGTGGCATAACTGGAATAGTGACCTGTCATGTGGTTCACATCATCGACATCTCACAATTCACATGCACCTTGTACTCATTGCACAACTGACGTCATAGGCACCGTGCAACGGCATTATCAGGCTGCGTTCTTATTTAAGTCATACAAATTAAGAAATTTCGATGGCTATACAAGTAGATGCAGCTAACAAATTCTAGTAAATAAATGTAATATTGTTACCTGTATCAGGCCTTCAATGTTAGATCATAGTCTGAAAACGAAAGTGAAACCCTCTATATGACTACTGCAAACGTAACTTAATACAATTTATCAATTGATACAAGCGGCGGCGGGATTTATGCCAAGTTTATGTCATGTTATGACATGCTTATCAGAGTATAAATACTAAATACATTGTCAGTAGACCATAGTGTATACAATGTTCTAAATATAGATACGCTTAATGTGTTAGATCAATTTGCATTTAACTCGAGTTAAATTGTAAAAACCAATATGATTTTAAAATCAATGGACGACGATTGGCAGAATATTTCTTTTTAAAAGAAAGGTTTTTAGTGGATAGTCTGAAATAAAATAGATTTATAAATATAGAATATGTTCATTCAACTCAAAAAGAAAAGCTTAATGTGATTCATTTCAAAATTTTATAAATAAGAAAATACATTATAGACAGTTGTCTTTGAAAAATAGACTTTTTTCATACTACCGACTTTTGACTCCGGATGATATAATGTTAAGACAGGTTACGTATTCTGTGGTAGGACATCCTGGTACTCGGTCAGGTAGGAGAACCAAAAGAAGTAAAATCAAACATATAATCGGTAAAATTTTGGGGAAAGTTTAATGTTTTCCGATGATTTTGTCGTGTATAGAAAACATGAAACAGAAAATTTATAGTAGTTTGGTCTATGCTGTATGCTATGTTATGGTAGGCTACCGACGCTCAAATCTTGAAAATCGATCAAGGAACAGATAAATCAAGGTAACAAACAAGAACAGAGGGAAGAATCGCATGAACTCAAAAAGGAGCGAGGAATAAATGAATGAAATAAACAGGCACTGTAATGTTCAGTGCGACATTTGTTATGGATAAGACAAAATGCAAAAATAAAGACGACAAGGGAGAGGCGAAAGATACCAAAGGGACATTTAAATTCATAAGACGAAAATAAACTGACAACGCCATGGCAACAAGAAGAAAACATGTATACAACAGTATACAAAACACAACAAAGAAAACCAAAGACTGAGCAACACGAACCCCACCTAACACCGGGGGTGATCTCAGGTACACCGGTAATGTAAACAGATCCTGCTCCACATGTGTTGCTCATGTAACTGAACAAGTCCGGTAATAAGTCTAATTCGGTAGGTCACATTCGGGGGAAAGAGGACGGGATTGTGGTTGCAACAATTGAATAGTAAATTTACAGGAAAGAAGTTTTGCAGTAAAATCTAATGTCTACACACTTAAATGTTGACTATTGGGCTTATAAAACACTCGACAAGACCATCGATACTAACATTGACCCAGTGATTGTAATAACTATTCATAGATACCATATATGTTGGTTCGCCAGAAGTTTAAACATATATAATAAAATATTTCAGCAAGATTCTTTCCTAAAATTATTGCTGCGATATAGGATTTCTCATTAGATGGAAGCCTTAAAGTAGATTCACTGTATACCGCCATCTTGGATTGTACAATATCAGTACACAATCGGTCTAGTTCTTTGCCTGAATCTGCAAATTTTGAGTCAGATTTGCAATTGATGTGTAAGACTGTTTATAATTGTAAATAAGTGATTTATTGCATTATCCAAAATCTTTAAACAAATATCAAATATTTGTGGTATTCAAAATCAGTTTTTTCAACTTAGCTATTTAAGGGGAGATAACTCTTATTGTAAAAATTTTATACTGTAATGATAGTGAAATTTTTACTTTTTACTTGTAGCAAGAAAACAAGTTCGGTAACACCATTTTTTCTTTTTATATTCTTAAAGCATATTATAAAACCTATCTTCTCATATTTTATTTCAAAATTCTATCTCATAGATTTCTTTTTATTTACAAAAATGTGTTTTTTCATGAACAATCTTTGCAAATTTTGGCAATTTTGCACGACTTGTAGCTTAAAAAATAGCACTGTGACCCATAATTTTTATTTTATTTTTGAAAAAGCATGGTAAAATCTTCATTTTTGCAAAGTATAAGAAAATTCTATCTGAGGAAATATATACCGATGATCCACCTTAAAAGCCGCAATGATGCTTAATTGTAAGCTTGAAGTTACATTTACGTAAATCTTACAATCGCCTCATAAATTGGTGTCCTGATAAGGAATATCTGTAACACAGCTTACCATGAATATGTTTCACTTCACTTGTCATATCAACAATTCCACCCTCATTAACTCGATTTTTATGTCATCGTTTAATGTGTGTATGCCAGCAGCTACAGGACGGATGTCATCAGCTTACATTTCTTAAGCAAAGGGATGAATGTTTTGTGATACACTATATACAGTTTAAAGTATGAAATGTTATAAAGACATCCTTAGTGTTTTCTGAAACCCTTGGATATAGCCAGAATTAACTGGGTTTATTTCTATAGTACTTTTCAGACCTGAAATATGACTATAATTCATATCCTTTTTCATTAGGATTTATCACTATTTATTGCATTTTGATATATACAAACAATCTTTAATGATTTGGATAGTGTAATATATTATGACAATCAGCAATTTTTTGTGTTTTATTTTTCATTTCTAACAACCGAAACATCATATTTTTTATGAAATATAATACTTATTTAACAATGTTTTAACAATATAATGTATTACCTATACCAAGTTTTCACAAACTGGTATATGCTGGTAACACCAATGACACTATTTAGTAACACTATTGACATTTTTAGTTATTGATGTTATGTTATATAATTTGGGATTTTTTAGCCTAAGAACTAGTTTTTGTCTTTTTCTTTTACTTAGTGTTCTTTGTTTTGTGTTCAGTACTCAATAAAAGTATAATTTGAACTGTGTTGTCAATGGTGATACTTTTGTGTCATTGTAGTTACTGAAGGGTCAGTGGTGTTACTATATAAAAATGCAATAATGTTTACTTTTTTATTAGGCATTATCTAATCATTCAAGTCTTACACATTTTACATATATTCAGTTTTAGTGTATTCTTTAATATTAACAACAGCCATAATTAGGGCAGCTATGTTTTTTTACAACAATTTATTCTAAAATTTATGTTCAAATAGAATGCATAGCTATAGGAATAATGCCAATAAGTAGTAATTTAAGCCTTAACAACAAATTGGAACAGTTGTTTGGTATTTAAAAATATTTTTAATAACTTAATGCATGTTTTTATATTGGTAACACCATTGACATGATTCTATCAAAGGATGACCTAAAATTGTTAAAATTGAAGGAACTCCTAATTTTGCTCATTGCATATTTCTGAATATAGCTGCTACCATATTTCATAATAGCAGGACATATTTTAATTTTTAAAACAATGACATCAGTTTTACGAAACTTCCCTTATCAAAATATGCATGTTTTTTTTTATAATGACCCATATAAAATATACTGAATTCGACTTGCCCCAACATATGGTATTGCATATGTAGAAAGAGAACAACACAAAAAAACAAAACCAGAAGCCTGTAATAACGCGATTGTTGTTAGTTGACGTCTTTTAGAAATTTGTTTTACGTTTATTGTTTTATCATATATGCAGTCGTTAGTCTACTCGTTTGAATTGTTTTACATTATGTCATAAGGAAGCCTTTTATTGCATTACTTACGATATTGTCGCGTGGAGATATTTTTCATAGGCAATCATACCACATCGTCTTATTTATATATAAACCCATCTAAAAAGAAAAACTTAAATAAAATACTTCGAATCATCTATGGGTAACGTTTTAACGTGTTTATAGCTACGCTGCCAGATCCCGAACGGCTATGGATATGTTAAAACAGAGGTTCAGCAGTTATCATTATATTATCAAGACTTAAGACAGTGTAAATCTTTACGTGCCTGAATTTGTGAACAAGTAAAAAAAAAAAAAAAGGAAATGAAAAAAAGAAAAACATAAAAAAAACTATAAAGCAACACAAAACAAAATCGAATATCATTTTTATCAAATATTTGACCTTCATAGAAATTATTTTTAAAATGCTGCAATTGGCTTACCAGCTGTTCAATGTGATATATATATATATATATATATGTTAGTAGTATAAATATACAATATATCATGACTACCTCCATAAATATTAATATTTAGCATAACAATCTGTTTTATTCAAATGCATTTTCACATATAAATGAATTTAAAAAATGCTGTAAAATGCCCTATACACACTCCTGCCCTTTTGCAAAATACTTCCCAAACTGCTATTTCTGCAGTCACCAACTTAAAAAATGTTTAAGCTGAAAAAACTCACTTGGACCTGAATTACGTTGAACACCTGCAATATTAACTACAAAATATATGGGACTAACTGTGCACCACTTATTGCGGACCTTTTTTTGTATTGCTATGAGTTACAATTTATGACAAAAATCAGCAAAGACCCATCGAAACAACATCTGATACACAAATTTAATAATACTTTTAGATATTTGGATGATATTTTGGCTCTCAATAATGACGACTTCAGTATGTATACGAAAGAAATTTATCCTGTTGAACTTACTTTAAATAAAGCTAATACTAACAATGACCACTGCCCTTTCCTCGATCTTGATATCTATATCATTAACGGAAAGCTTAATACTAAAATATATGATAAAAGAGATGATTTTTCATTTCCTATCGTTAATTATCCATTTTTAGATGGTGACGTTCCCTTGTCACCATCTTACGGTGTTTATATATCTCAACTTGTACGATTCGCTCGTGTATGTAACAATGTTTTAGATTTTAACGAGAGAAATTTATATATTACTGAAAAATTATTACACCAGGGTTTTCGATATCACAAACTAGGCAAAACATTTACTAAATTTTATCATCGGTATAAGGACATCATTCGTAAATATAGCTCAACATGCAGACTTCTTATACGTTCAGGTATTTCACATCCAATTTTTTATGGAAATATTCTTTATAAAGCACAAAAATGTCAGTATTCACCTCTGAAGCTAACAAAACCTTTAAATAGACTTATTAAGAAGGGATATAGTTACGATACTGTTGTCAGGTCATTAAAGATTGCATATTTTGGCGTTAATATTGATTCACTTATAGGGTCTTTGCATCGGCACTAAACACATTTATTTAAAAACCAGTTGTTGGCATGACACGTGTTATGTTCTTCTCATATATGTTATGATGGTATGATACTAAACCCCTAACGGGAAGGATTGTGCCTGATATTCATATGATGAAGACATAATCTTTCAATCAGTTTAATTGAAGTCTGGAGCTGGCATGTCAGTTAACTGCTAGTAGTCTGTTGTTATTTATGTATTATTGTCATTTTGTTTATTTTCTTTGGTTACATCTGACATCAGACTCGGACTTCTCTTGAACTGAATTTTAATGTGCGTATTGTTATGCGTTTACTTTTCTACATTGGCTAGAGGTATAGGGGGAGGGTTGAGATCTCATAAAAATGTTTAACCCCGCCGCATTTTTGCGCCTGTCCCAAGTCAGGAGCCTCTAGTTTTTGTTAGTCTTGTATTATTTTAAATTTTAGTTTCTTGTGTACAATTTGGAGTTTAGTATGGCGTTCATTATCACTGAACTAGTATATATATTTGTTTAGGGGCCAGCTGAAGGACGCCTCCAGGTGCGGGAATTTCTCGCTGCATTGAAGACCTGTTGGTGACCTTCTGCTGTTGTCTGTTCTATGGTCGGGTTGTTGTCTCTTTGACACATTCCCCATTTCCATTCTCAATTTTATCCTAAACGTATTTTAAAATCTATCATAAAAATGTTATTTTTGACAACCATGAACAAAAAATGATGAAACAGACCTATTTTGCTAGAAGCCCAGGTTTAAATAATCCTGAACTTTACTTAGTTAAATTATCTCCAACAAACAAGTGTACAGTTAATAGGAGATTATAGTAAATATAAGCAAATTGAAGGTGTACGAAAACTCATTTACATTGTACCAGTCAGATTCAGATTCAGATTCAGATTCAATATTTTATTAAAGTCTCACCATTTGTATAACATTATACATTCCAAGTCATTGATTTATTTCTTATTTGGGAGTGGGATTAATGACACTTAGATATATTTGTAGGAAACAAACTCTTTATTGTGGATAGTCGTGTTGGTCAAGTTGTCTTACGTCTGGATGTAGTGCAGACGCTGTGTGTTAGAATACTGCTAGTTTGGTAAATAAAGAACTTTTTTAATTATGTAATGATTTTCTTTATCTACATTTCAATTTTTTTTTACTTAACTTGTTATGATTTTTCCTAATCATAGACACATATATTGTATTTAGCTCCTTGAATTGCACACTTTTGGTATCTTTCGCCTCTGTTTGACAATTGGTGAAATTGAAATTGTTTGGATAGATCTTCCTATTGTTATGCCTTGAAACAATTTTTCTTCATATAATTAAATCGTTAACTTTTCATTACATACAACATTTAGTTACCAGTAGATTCAAAAAGATATTAATCAAAAAGTCACAAAGCGATACTAGTACCTATATTTGAAAAAAAATTAAGAAACTATCAATCACGGAAAATAAAAGTAATTAAAAATGGTTGATAGACGGCAAATGAGTATCGTTTAACACATAAGTAAAAACAAAAGCCCCGAAACAACGTATCAAATGTTATAATATCACAACATACTGTTATAAATTATTTATATTTGACCGCTGCACACTTTTAAGTAAACCCTATATTGTATATAATATCACCATACCTGAGATTAAAGTTTAATGGAAAACAAATAATAACAAACTCTATAAGAGTTCTTGTGTCAAATCGGATTGTCACATCGAGGACAAAAATCTATGGAGTGTGAACATTGCTGACAGAATACTGCATTTTTACAGTCATGAGTTATTACTTGAGCAGAAAATGTTGTGCATCTGTCACATTAAAACATTGATTTCCCAGAATCTAAGCTAACTCTGCACATTATGTAGGCATCGCATTTTGGACAATAATCTATACATTCTGAACACCGACAACAAGTCACACAGTGATAGCAATTCTGAAATACTATACCACGCGGTTCACTACCACATCTAATGCACATACTGTTCTTAATGTCACTTATCTTTTTTGATGTAGCTGCAAAGTATAAAAAGTGCGCAAAGTTATTACAAATAAGTTAACTGGTGATTGTTATTCATTTAGTTAAGCTGATATGGATGGTGTGTAACCGGTGAGCATGATTCTACTTGCAAAATCGCACGTCTCCACCGGGACTCGAACCCGGGACCTCTGTGTTACAAGGCAGCGCGTTAACCGACTGAGCTAAAGAAATACTTTCTTAGCTCAACCGCTTACGGCTGACTAAGTATCTACTAAATTTCTAAGGGAAGCAATCCCGTCACAGGTGCATGCATAACAGGAGACGCTTACTCTGTATCGCTCCTTTTGACTTCACTTTCATTTAAATCTTCTAGATTGATTTAAGAACATACTAGGTTCTCTTGTGTTGCTTTACGTTATACTCATATTCTATTTCAATATTCTTAAATAATTGAATAATTACTCGGTTATATCAATAGTATCAATATTAGTGCAAGAAATGCGAATTTCGACAATTAATGTCTCTTCAATGGTGCTCACTATTTTGGAATGACATGAAAAGCATATTTTTTGTTGTTTTTTTTTACACCTTCGTACATGTATGCGTATACAAATTTAAAAATAAACTTGAACGAAAACTTTTTCAAATGCAAAATGGTTTTCATTTTGCTTAGCCTCGAATTTTAGAAGTTTAAAGATTCTGAGGCGAATCATTTTTTTTTATTCTATGATTTTTTTTAAATTGTTTCAGAAGGGGACTGACAAAATAGTTTGTTTCTATTAAAAATAAGTACTAGTATAAAAAAAAACCTATAAAAATATGTTATGAACATGTATTGGTCAACCGTTTATACATACAGCGATTTATTAACTATCGAATATATAAGTTCATCCGATTATTTGTATCATCATCTATATTGCGGCATTTTTGTTTCTATTGTATTTGTAATTTTTTCAAAGCCCATCTTTTGTCTCCTGCTGTATCAGTAGAGGAAAGTTTCGCGTTTCAAATATGCCTTTTCTTTACATATTTCTAACAGAACAACTTTTTCTCTAATGCTGTAATTTGTCATTCGCTTAGACTATATTTAAATTTCTGACGTACATTCAAAATCAAATACACACCAACTTCTATTTAACCTCAGTTTGTAATTAGTGCGTGCAGTGTTGAATGAATGTAAATAATCAAACAATAGGTAAGTGAATGGGGTGAGTTAACATTTCAAACCGTTAGTAGAGAAGCTAGGTTCCGAAGACATTTCTGCTTAAAACTGCTTGCGTTAGTTGTCAACTTAACTAATTTTATGCATACGAGGTAAGAATATCAATAACGAAATACGTATTGAAATCTTAGTAGAAGGAACATTAAGTTAAAAAAATTTATGCATATGGCTCTTTATTTTTAAAGATTTATTTTTTGATACATTAAGTCTGTACAATAGATTTTTAAGGGACGTTTCGAGAACAGTTTTTCACTTCATTTGCTTTAAAAGTTAAAACCCATATCAAATATGCTCTTTTTGGTATTAGTTATTTCCTAGTTAGATGGGGATGATGTCTCGGTAAAATTCACCACTTCATTCAATCTTTTCTCCTTTGTAACGAATACTGTTTCTGTCTGTATCTTACAAAACGATATATTTCACATTTAAGGGAAAGCAAATCATCAATTGCAAAAAAATATTATGCAATGTAGTTACCCTTTGCTTCTTTCATATCTTTAGCAATATCTCTTCCTGCCTCATCATCAATTTTCCATCCCTGAAAGATATTTGTCTTCAGACATATTCCAAATAAACAAAATAATTCATTACAAGAAAGCAATGAAAAGTAATTTGAATAATTAGCAATTCATTCTTTTACTTCAACTCCCAAAAAATGTTTTTGCTTATGTTTGTTTTGTTGGATGTTTTATTGTTGTATTTTTTATATTGTGTTGTTCATTTAGTATTTTAGATTTCTTTTGTTTTGTTAATGTTGTTCTGCGTCTTGGGGTTTTCGTTTTTTTTTGTTTTTTTTTGTTTAATTTAATCACAAAATTGTACCAAGTAGCCATATAGCTATCATGCTGTCTTGGTATTTACTCTTCTTTATTTTAGATTTCTATGTATCCTAATATATTTGCAGATAACATGATTTAATATACCAGGTTATATGTTTGATGCCATAGACTTAAGACATTGCACAAGAATCACGAACACATTTTATTTTAAAAAAATTATCACGTTATTGTAATATAATACTTGCTTTAAACAATGGTTCAAATGTGGTTCATACGAGTTTTTTTTTTCTTTCTTCTTGATCGGTGCTAATATTAAAGGGAAGGTACAAAAAGATGCATACGTGTTCTGTTTCAGGATCATAACTATCTCTATCTTTAGTATACTCAAATGCATTTTTCAAAATAATCTTTAAAAGAAACCTAGTTTATCTAAATCATGAACTAAAGTATAGTCCAAACTAGAGTTTTTAAATCACTGTTGTCGTTCCTTAACATCCAAATTGTAAATGAAATAACAATACCTGTATGGTTTTTTTGCAATAATGCATACTGAGTTTAATAGTTGGAATCAGAGCATCAGATGTATTTGTTTGATTTCTGGCATTATACAGCGGCTTTTGAGTCATTTTTGTTTCATAATTGTCATTTGAATTGGTTCTACATCGGTCTTTGCTTGCGCATACATAGTCACAATGTGGCCAGTGGCATGGTGTTATATTTCCAATTGTATCTGAGCAATAAGTAGAATCACATTTATGACATTTGATGATATTCAAATTGTTTTCGTAATAAAAACCTTGTTTATGAATTTTATATATCATATCTGTCGGCATTTTATTCCTGTCGACTGTATTAAAAAATGTTCCTAATCTTCCTTGCGGTGTCCACTGTTTATAATCTGGATTTCCTATGAAATGATTGATTGGACGGTATCTATTCCATTTTTCAAAATTCGAAATAACATTATCCGACTCAGATATACAGATATCATAGAACTCTTCACGATTTGGACGAAAATAAGGGTAACGATAATATCCCTTATATTGATTGGCAATGTCTTTGTTGTTATGACCGACAGTTAGCTTTGTCTTTACAGATAAAGAACTGGTCAATGGAATTGGCCTTGAATATGCCATTCATGGATGTAAATCCTTAAATAAAAAAATAATAAAAAACACTTTAACTTGAACAATGTAAAAGAAAAGATAGATTTATGAGATAGCAAATCGAGCTTTGTGTGTAATGTACAAACATGTGCAACATTCATGTTTATTTTCTTTTTTCATATTTGATAATCATCAACATGCATCTTTATTCAGTGGCCTTTGAAGTAAACCTGATAAATAAAGAATGTTCACGATTGTTTTCGAAACAAATCATTACACTTAAAATTCGTGTCAATCGCAGTTTATACAGAGAGAAGTTAATCTTTTTTACCTGGTATGACTCCCTTTTATTTCTTTGTCTTTGATTCACATAACTTACCCGTATCCAATAGATAAGAAACTAATTGTGGTCGAGTATTAATCGTTATCAAACTACAAATTTTACAAATAAAAAAATTAAATACCGGAAGAAAATCGAATAACAATTACATGTTTACCTATTCTTAGTTTACGTCATGTGTTCACAAACAAATAAAAATGGACTCTCTTTCGGGTTAAAGGCTGGATACAGTCTAATGCTTATATATGCTTCATCAGTGCAATAATTTAAGGTGCATCAGAAGGAATTGAAAAATATGGCAGTGTTTACACCACAAATTTTACTCTGAGTACAGATAAACCTGTGTACCTGGAAAAGTTTTAAGGTATGGCAGGAACTATACTATGCAAAGTTTGAATGCATTTTATGTTTCAGAAAATTAAAGATGTACCTGGAATTTTTTCTTAAGCCTGCAGAAGGTGATAAATAAACAAACACCTTAGTTTCATTTGATATGATCCACTCATTTACACAGTTTAAATCACCTATTGTTGTGTATATATCTATTGTCCATCTATTGTCTAGTCAACCAATACAATTCACTACAATTATTGAAATAGGGGAACATCTCAAACATTTTTCCGAACTTAGTTTATTTTGGCACCTTCTGTGGGAACGAAAAAAAGGAATTTCAAAATCAAAAAAAGGTTATAATTTTCTGAAACATTAAATGCATTTAAAATTTAAGTATCTAGTTCCTGCCATTCCTTTAAACTTTTCCATACGCACAGGTTTGTCTGTACTCAGAGTAAAATGTGTGGTGTAAATACGGCCATATAAGGGACCGTTCAATATTTATCAGATGGATTGCAAAATGGGGTGGGGCAAGCACTTTTTTTGTGGAAATATTTGGATGGGCGAGAACTTTTTTTTACATGTATAGTGGATGGGCCAGAACTTATTTTATAGGAAAAATTTTGCTATCAATTTTATCGGTGTGTAGTGGATGGGCCAGAACTTATTTTATAGGAAAAATTTTGCTATCAATTGAATCGGTGTGTAGGAAATTTCTTTTGCAGGCACACAAAACATAAAAGACATGGTCTCAACAAACTGGTAGCTTGGTTCATTTCTGTCAATTTTAAGGATTTAATTAAAGAATACAAAAGCTAGAATTTTCTATTCGGACTAATTTCAGATAGTCACTTTTAAAAGTTTATATAAATTTTCAAAACCACTTGGATTTTCATATCAATTGTATTTTGACCTTATAGAATACCAGGTTGTTTGATAGTTTGGTTTATTGCTGTCAAATTTATGGATTTTATTAATAAGTAAGAAAAAAAAAGCTAAAATTTCCAGTTTAGGCTAAATTCAGATAGTCACCTTTAAAATTTTTTATAACTTTTTCAATACAACTTGGATTTTCATAAAACTCTACAACAATCTCTTTCATATATTGATCTTACAAAATGCCAGGTTGTTTGAGAGTTTGGTGTATTGCTGTCATTTTTATGGATTTAATAAATAGGTTAAAAAAAGCTTAAATTTTCAGTTAAGGTTAATACCAGATAGTCATCTTTAAAAAAATTTATAACATTTTCAAATCAACTTGGATTTTCATATAACTCTACAGCTATCTCATTAACATATTGATCTTACAGAATGCCAGGTTGTTTGGTACTTTGGTTTATTGCTGTCATTTTTATGGATTTAGTTAATAGGTTAAAAAAGCTACAATTTTCAGTTTAGGCTAAATTCAGATAGTCTCCTTTAAATTTTTTATAACTTTTTCAAATCAACTTAGATTTACATATAACAGCTATCTCATTTATATGTTGATCTTACAGAATGCCACGTTGTTTGGTAGTTTTGGTGTATTGCTGTCATTTTTATGGATTTAATAAATAGGTTAAAAAAAGCTTAAATGTTCAATTTAAACTAAATTCAGATAGTCATCTTTAAAAATTGGTATAAAGTTTTCAAATCAACTTGGAATTTTATATAGCTCTACAACTATCTCATTAACATATTGATCTTACAGAATACCAAGTTAATTGGTACTTTGGTTTATTGTTGTCATTTTTATGGATTTAGTCAATAGGTAAAAGAAGCTACAATTTTCAGTTTAGGTTTATGGTAATATGTTTACTAGTATAAGAGTTATTGTCCCTTAATTTAAATTATTCCCTTTATTTTAAATTAATATGGTATTTTGAAAATTGTATACAAATTGGATAGTTAGTTAATATTTTTTTTATTGTTAACAATAGTTTGAATAAATCTTTATGTCCTATGGTCACAAAAGGGGAAAAAGTGGTGACCCTCAATTATTTAATAGAACAAGAAGAGATACATTAAACTGTTTCAAATTTAAGATGACCTCAGATTTCAGAAAAATATAAACTAAGTACATTAAATAGTATGGTTAATATTTCTTCATATGTTTTATGACTTGCATGAATATTGTTAGCACTTCTTAAGCCTCTATGAAAGGCTGGCTGATATAGTATGCTATTACTTATGTCTTGAGATTTAATTGTGATATTGTATCTGTGGCTGCACATATAAAATCAAATCTATACATGTATATTCATACTGGTTTTAAAATTAATACTTGGCTAGACATAACAACATGCAAATATTAAAATAGAAAAAGAACCTTAATCATTTTTGATTGTCTTTAGGTTTTAGAGGGGCAAGGACTCTTTTTATAGTTTTTTTTAGATGGGTAAGGACTTTTTTGCAGAATTTAAAAGGATGGGCATTAACTGTTTTAATGAAATAATATTAAGAATGCACCGGCCCATCCATCTGGTAAATATTGAACGGTCCCTAAGCCAAAAGGTTATGATCAATAATTGATAAAGGTATGTAAAAAGTGCTACATTTGACCTTTTTATTTTTGTTTTTGTTTTTTATGTTGTACATGTATGTTTGTTCAACCTGTAATTCAGTGGATGTCGTTTGTTGCTGTATATCATATTTGTATTTTGTTCATTGTTTTTACATAATTCAGGCCGTTAGTTTTCTCGTTTGAATTGTTTTACATCTGTCATTTCGGAGCCTTTCATAGCTGACTATGCGGTATGGGTTTTACTCATTAAAGAAGGTCGTATGTGGTGACCTATAGTTGTTAACTTCTATGTCATTTTGTCTCTGGTCTTCTTATTTTTATTTATAGTCTTCTTTACGATTAACACCATGTAATAAGTTTTTAAAGGACTGAGATCATATCCATTGCAGGTATATAATTTACCAATGTAATGCAGAAAGACAAACTACTGTAGGCGATAATAATGACTTCATTCTGATTGTAACTAAAGAGTTCATCCAAATGGCCAAACGAATTCTAGTTATTTTGTCCTTTGAGAGGAACGTTTGGTGTCAACATATTTATGCTGAGGTTTTTTAAAGACATTGTGATAAATCTCGCTTTACGTACTGTGCCATTTTAAACTCACCAATACAGATGCTTTTGAACCACAATGAACGTATATGCTCCAAAATGAAGAGTTTATTCTGTTGTTGCATCCTTTGCATAGCACATGCAAAGTAATATTTAGTCGTATTATGTGATACGTAATAAACGAAGACGGTAGGACGGGGTTGTTACTTGCAGAAATGGAACACACACCAAATTATCTGTTATACGACCGTTCAGTCTACATAAGAATCTTTAGTCATACTAGAATGGAAAAAGTTGGAAGGTCAAATCTTGAGTTGTGCAAAATATCAAACTAAATTTCCTAGAAGTTATGGCGAATAAAGTTAAGAACGTCTATGCCCGAGATGACACGGATACTCCGCCACGTCAGGCCAATTGATGTTGATGTTCTTAAAAATTTCGGAAAAGTTGTTAAAGATATGCGAGTAAATACTATATTCTATGTATTTGCACCCCATGATAATGTATTAAAACTTCCTGTTTATCACCAAGTATCCATTGTTGTTGTTAAAAATATTGTATCATTCACATGATAATCTTGCAAGTTTCAAGTTCTGAACAATTCAAAGGTATAATCTTGTCCCCTCATTGGTATTCAGTTTATCTTTCCTATCTTTAAGTCATTATATGTAACCATACGTTTGGGAAAAGACAACAAAAATATTCGTTTACGAGATAAATGAGGCCACGGATTAAATAAAAACTTCAAAATAGGAGAAACAGCACCATGACAAAGGGAGAAAAGACGAGGGAACAATGCACTAAATGGTTACACAAAAAACAAAGACCTTATTAAATACGGAAGGGAGATTCTTTCAAAGTACAACAACTTTAAGTGAAAATCAAATAACTGACTTTGAACATGCATAGTGTAATAAGATATGAAACTGCATCAATGAATAGTGTCGGACGTACTAGTATAATATGATTTATTAAACATCAACATGAGAAGTGAATCTGAAAGATAAACTGTAGTTCTTGACGACCCACTTATCATGGTAAAATAATGTTCAAGAGCCTTAACGTATCCAATGATTCGTAGTAAGTCTAATGTAATCTTTGACTTGTCGAGTTAGTTTGATAAGTACAAATTTATGATATTGGTTAAACTATGTCTAGCCAAGTATTGGTTGTTTGATTGGCATTTTGAAATCACCCCTTCGTAAATTTTACGGACGCCATCACGAGTTGGTTGACCGTTATGGAATATCCGTTTCACCGATTATAGCGGAAATGTCGTAACTACAATCCCGTCCCCTTTTCCTCGAATGTGAATTACCGAATTAGACTTATCACCGAGTTTGTACTAGCATGAGCATCACGACGGATGACAAATGTCGAGCAGGATCTGCTTACCCTTCCGGAGCACCTGACATCACCCCCAGTTTTTGGTGGGATTCGTGTTGCTCAGTCTTTTGTTTTCTATGTTGTGTTTTGTGTACTGTTGTTTGTCTGTAGGTATTTTTCTTTTCCAGCCATGGCGTTATCAGTTTTATTTTCGACTTATGAGTTTCCTTTGCCTCTTTTTTTCTCCGACTAACATTATAGGAATATGACTCGCTCTACCATTGGCTTAGGCATATGTCCAGAGTGTATCAAAAATAAAAAAGATGTGGTATGATTGCCAATGAGACAACTCTCCGCAAGAGACCACATGACACAGAAATTAACAACTATAGGTCACCGTACGGCCTTCAACAATGAGCAAAGCCCATACCGCAAC